GTATTTTTGAAAGCACTGATATATTTCAGAAGTTCAGTGCCTACAAATGGCCATTTGAGTTTAAGTGAGCCTCAGCCTTCCCTTCTAAATGAAACAAAGGCAGTATTTTATAAAGAGTTGTATCTAAGAAATTTAGCTTTCAAATAGAGCAGCATGCCCAGCATATTCCTATTGGGTTCAGTATTGCCTTAGGGACCTGATTCTAGTCAGGTGACAAAGTTAGATGAGAGATTAGCTGTGTTCATGTCCTTCACCAAAGTACACACAGGACCTAACACACACAGTGACCAGTCCTTCCAGCAAGACCTTCCTATCGTGCCCTCTGACCCTGCCAACATTAAACATCACAAGAAGAACAAGACTCCCATGCCATACATCGTGATATGGATTCTTGACCCCATGGGGTCTGGATACACCCCCTAACCTGACCTCAGGCCTCCCGCCCACTCCAACTCAAGAAAGCCTTCCACTGTGCCCTTTAAAAACTCATGGCACAGCATCAACAAATCCCCTACATTCTCAACTTCTTCACTGAACAATCCTTCCTCTTGCTTTAATTAAGTACCTCTCAATCCTGGCTGCACTTCAGGATCACCCAGGGAGCTTCTTAAAATCCCCCATGTCTAGGCCTCACCCCATGCCAAAATCTCTGGGGGTAGGACCCATGCCTCAGTGGTTTAAAGCTCCCCCAGATGATTCCAGGGTGCACAACGGTGAGCCCCGCTGGGCTGACACCCTGTGCTCTCTCCTTAGAGGCCATTCCCTAAACAGAACTCTTTCGTTAGGACCTTTGTCTCCTACAGCTCTGGCACCATCGGGACACAAGTGAGTGGGCCACTTACTCTTCACTGCCACCTCCAAACACAAATCTCTCTCCCCTAAAATCTCATGGCTTCCTAAATTTCGGGCAGTTCCTTGACCCTCTTTGCATACCTGTTTCTTTGCATTTGCTTTTTCTCTACAGTAAAGCTCTGAACACCTCAGCCATCTAAAAAGAAAAGTTCTCCTGTTTCTTTACAACTCATTTCACTGGTCACCTCAGCCCTTCCATGAAGCCCTGTCCCTCTAAGCTTAAAAGTATTGGTAAAATGCTTCCTGCATAGTGCTTTCATCTTACAGTGTTATTTTAGTACTCATTACACTGCTAGCGAGGCACACCTGCCATTATAAGGTGAGAAATTAGTGGTATGAATAGGAAAATTCTAAGCACATTAGTCTACAGGGAGCCCCAATTCATCAAATGCACCTGTAATATAATATTGAAAAGATTATCCTTTGCATCAAAAAATCTTTTCCTTATTAAAGATAATTACACTGAAGCTGTGGCTCTAGCACAATTGCCATAAGAAATTTGGCCTGAGATCAACATTATTAAAGGGATTTAGCTATTGAAGTACCAAATAGGCCCTTAACAGAAAACTGACCTACAGGACAAGTACCAACTCTGTAGATGGCATTTTGCTCAGTTTATATGCACACAAACAGTGAGCTAATAAGTTTAATGAACTCTCATTTTAACACTGCTCCCTATGAACCTATGAAACAGTTAAGTTTAATTGTCTTTTAGTCATTTATGCTATGAATCAGTCTTCTTTTACGTATCCTTTTCCATAAAAAAAAAAAAAAAAAAAACCTCTTCCGAGCTGAGCCAAAATATGATGCCCTGGTCTCTAGCCTGTCCACAGGAAAACATCAGACACAAACCATTAGATTCTTTATATATTCACTTGGCCCTTCTCGATCTTACCTATAGCATGAAAAATAAAAAGATCTGTTTCTTTGAATTTATTCCTTTTCCTAACTCCAGGGCCCCATTTGTATAACTTAATCCAGATGTGCATATCATAGTGGTGTTTGGTATAATAGGGGCCAGCTAAACAGCATTTTATGCTGAAAACCTATACTTCATCTCTCTTGCTTGATAATAGTAGAGATACTTTTGTTGTGTATAGAAATGATCTATACATACCTTTGTGCACAGTTAAACATACAAACTCTTTTCTCTTATATACTTAAAACGTGGGAGTATATCACTGATTAGTCACATGGTTTTTAAAATAGTGTTCCTTTCTCGGGAATAAAACAGTTTCATTTATTACAATCTAGTCTTGCCCATTTATCAAGTTAAATAAAATGGAAATTTAAAATTCAAGAATAATTCGAAAACATTTTATCTTAATCTCTTCTCAGAGCTACTAATAAATATACTGATTTTAATACCAGGCTTCCTGGTTTCTCCCCCAGCTACTACAGTGTAGGTCCTGTAAAAGAAGTCTCTGTAGTTAAGTATATAGTTTTCCAAAGTCAGGATTACTGTTCATATTATACCAAGGAACATTCAAAAAATTTTTTTAAAGAGTAGAAGAATTTAGAGTGTTCAAGTGGTAAAAGTGACCTCATGAGAGAGTAAGCAAGAAGGAATAGAAAGGCGAGGAAAGAAACACAACAAACTGAAAACATGACAATTTGAAATCCAAAGCTAATGTGCAGTAAATTTTCTTTTTCATTTTCAACTCTTCTAGAAAAACTATTGGCATAAGATACAAAAATTTAACTTCAAGCACATAATATAGAGATGAGGTGACAGATGAAAGAGGTTTGGAAATGTTCTTACCAATACCTTAAGTCTGGTGTATAATAATGTTTCCTAACCACTAAGCCCTCCGGATATTAGTAGGTATTTTATAAATAAAGAGATGAATGGTCACACAAGCTAGGAAATTGCCAGCTTTAACAAAATCGACCAGGTTTCTTTACTGTAAGGACTTCAAAGCCTTTTGTGGCTCGTATGCACTGAGACTCTCCCAGAGCCTGTACAGAGGCAGCAGCCTGCAAATTTCTCTTACCACAGAGCCCTGGTAATATCTCCCAGAAGACTGTTTTATCACTAGTTTGGGGAAGACAAGAATATACAGGCGCCCCACACAGGTGGTTAGGTGAGTTTTTCCTGGGGCCAATATTCAGAATTGGGTACTGCATGCATAAAGACTAAAGACAATCATGTGTTTATTAGCCAGGACTTCCTCTTTTGAATCTATGTGTCCCACTTACAGTGGACGAAAGGACGACAGTGGGGGAAAGAAAGTGGCGTGGGGGCTTTCTGCCTGCATTTCTTACACACCTGTTTCTGTAGTCTGACATCTTCATAGTTAGGCAGCTGAGTTGGAGGCTTGGGCTGAGGGCTGGGCTCACTGTTTACATTGTGATGGGAAATCTGGTAGACAAAGAAGCAGTCACATTTGTCAACAGTGACTTGAGAATTCCCGGTCCCCTGTCAGATCCTCGAGCCCCAAAAGCAGGCAGGAAGCCCACCTCGAGCAGCTCCGATGAGGACTGCTGATAGCAGCGGTGCATTTCACAACCAGGAAGTAACTATTGGCACTAGCACAGCAGAGGAAAGATAAGGAGGTTGGTCACAAAAGCCCTTTCAGACAGATCTTCCACTCATTCACCCAGATGACTCTCCAGCCCCAGTCTGAAAGCAGCAGCTGGCAGAATGCCCACTCATTTTGCTGTGATAAAGTCCAGGTTTGCTGTTGGTGCAAATTCGGAGCCTGATCTCATCTAGGTCCTCTTAGGGGGACATGGTGAAAGCCTCAATTGCCAGTGCAACAGAACACTGTCTTCCTGTACACACAGACACTCTGACTCCAGTGATGGGAAGGGGAGGAACCCTTAGATGGACCTCGGTTTGGGAGCTGGCCCTACTGTTTACTAGTTACGTCACCTTGGGTGACTTGCTTAACACCTGTATGCTTCGGTTTCCTCATCTTTAAAAACAGGCAAGTACCTACGGCATAGGGTTTTTGTGAAGATTAATGCATTGAAAGCACTTAGCACAGTGCCTGGTCTATTGTAGATGCTCGATAAACAGAGCTAATAATTAAACGGGCAGAAATTATAACCAAAGAAAGGCTTAGGACAGAACTAAAGCTTAGCGTTAGATATATAGCAGGGGCTCAATAAATACTTATATGACTGATTAACCAATAATCTGTACGTCGATGCTAGAGTATTGGAAAAGGGGGTTCTCACTTGTTTATATGTGAGCAGGAAAAACAGGGCTTTTTATTACTCTTCAAACTGAAGCAGGAAACCAGTGCCTCATGGTATCTGTATCTCAAGTTTGAGTGGATGCTAAAGACCATCTAATTCTCTAAAAGGAGGACAAATATTAAAAGTGGTTTCAGCGGCTCAGCGAGTCGCGAGATGTGCCACATGGCAAGGTGTGACTGTTTCTAGAGAAACTGCCCCACACTTTCTGCCAAAAGTCAGAGAGGGTCTTTAAAGATGGAAAGTTTCTGCAGCAGCAATTAAGGAAAGGAAGGGTCTGTAGCATCGTTTACCACACTCCCCAGATTTGCTGCTTGTTTCTCATTTTCGACTCTACAAATTGTTGATGAATACGGCCACAGTAGCTCATGTGAATATGGCGGAATAAATTCACAAGTGAGACAGATTTCTGGTGACATGCTCTCCCAACTCCTGCTGTCTCAGTTTATTGTTCCAAAGGAAAATACCATCCTAAAGAAAGCACCGTGAGCCCAAACCACAGCACTAACCCCAGGTTGATGACCATGTATGCAGAATTTTAAGTTTATGCAGAATTAACACAGCTCCTAAAACACTGTTGAAAATATGGGCACCCAGACTGCACATGTACACAGAAAAACCACGTCCCCCACCCCTAACCGGAGAGAAGCCCCTTCTATCACTCCTTTCTCTGTATGAAAACCACTTGCAACCCAGTGCAGCCAAGAGTGAACTAGTACACATTTGCTTGGTTGCTCATTGAGGAAACTTTCCCTTTTCTACATGAGGTTGTGGGGCAGGGCTAGCTGGATAAGAAGAAATTCAACCACTCTGCTCTCTTCCGCCAGATGCCATCTTGGGAACCTAGCTGGCCAGTTCTGTGGGATCCATCCTCGCAAAGGAAGCACAGTGGTAGGACAAATTCCCTACTCCCCAGCAGTTTACAGAAATCAACATCTGTCTCCTACCTGTGATGGACAAGGTCTCGGAGGGAGTGCAGGTGGTGGAGGTAACACTCCTGACTTAGTGGCTGAAAAGGAAAACATACACTGTTAAGAACCACCTCCAAAACACCCTTCCACTTGTTAACTAGGAATAGCAATAGCATTTAACATGTTTAAGTTTTTAAAATCCATCTGAAGGCTTAATTTTTTTAAAAAAAGAGTGCATGCTTTTTCTAATCCCATTTTCATTTTCATCCTACCCAAATCCAAGTATTTATATAGGTTCTCGTGATTGAGACAGTGTACAATGGTAAGGAAAAGACACCTTATGATCAAAAGACTGGAACCCAGCACAGGAAAAGCAGTTGATCTCTCATTATTCTGCTGTTAATTTTTTAGTTTCAAATAACCTAGGCCCTTTGGCTTCTCTCCTATTTCTCCCTAGCTCTCGGCCATTACACTGCTCATTAGCTCAACTAGCAGGCTGCTGAAACAGAGAGCCGGAGTCCCAACGAGCCAGTTCTACTGCCCTGTGAGTGAGTAGGTCTGATAGCAGCAGGGGAGGCCGAAAGTGACGGACTAAAATATTTAGGGATTCTTCCAAGATCTCAATTTCCTTTTCCCTCCCTGATCCTTATTATCATGGATAATTAAATCTGTTTCTGAAATAATCTGGCCCCATTTGAAGGATCTTTTGAAAGTTTTAGTCTAAATTTTTAATTTTGTGAGAATACAGAGAAAATTTCTGGTAAGCCAAGAACATCTGAATTGTAACTCAAGGAAAATAAACATCTGCTATTGAATTATAAATAAAGCTCATAATCACAAAGAAACAAGTTTATTATCACGCACTGGCAAGTTAAACCACATTCTTTACAAACTCCTTAGAAAAGCACACTGTGCTCTGTATAACTATACATAGTTTATTTGCAAATCTGTAATGTGTGCGCTAATATTTAGACAATTTTCTGTGCCTTAAAAATAAATCATAGCAATGTGCCAAGAACATAGAAGTTTTTGTAAATCACTTTTGATTTGACCTAGCTAGATCAGACAAGCTCGAAGATGGAGTTTGGAGCTTTCCACAAAGGTAACTGAATAATTTCACAGAGATTTTCATTCTGAGCCAGTGCACGGATATGGTACAACCATGTGGACCTATCAATGATTTCTCTCAATCTGTCTTTCATTAAAATTTATAAAATACATCAGGGGATCAAAACTCCAGAGGTGGTGAGGCCTTGAACAGCCTTTGATAACAAAGCACGTAGCGGCAGAGAATGACAAAAGCCTCAGTTCTCCATCTCAGGGACCCTGCTCTACAGGTTCTCCTGGACTGGGACTTTAGACGACCGGTTACTTTAAAAACAAAATAAAAACACAAACAAAAAACCGAAATCTATACATGCTTTTAAGGGAAAAGCCTTGCACTAGAATAAACCGTTTGCCAAAATAACCCTTTATTAACAAAAGAAGACTAAGAAATAAGCCATTTTACTAAACTGACTTCTGCTTCCAGCCAAGATGGAGTAACAGGGATCAAACAGACCCTCCCACTTGAAATATCCAAAGCCAAACATATTTTTTTTTATATAAAACAACAGTTTAAGACACTAGAACAAAACATATAAAACAACAGCTTTCAATACACTAGGAAATCAGGCAATGAAAGACAGTGATCCCTGAGAGACAGGAAACAAACATGTGACTGGCCCTGCTTACTGCCTCAACAGTTCCTAGAAATGGGACCCACATCCAGATTCATATCTAATTTCACTTTTACTATTGAATAAAAAAATATATAAATGCCCTATTTTTGTAAAAGATAACGTAAGGGTATGTTTCTGAATGTACTTTTGGATAAAATTCTATTATGTACCAATATTAACAGTTTTGTTTCCTCTTTTCAGTACCTTTATCTATTTTTTGTCTGTTTGTTTTTGAACTTACCTGGTTAGAACATCTACTGTAAAGTTGAATTAAATGGTGATAAGGGTGTTCTGGTCTTCTCCTGATCTCAAAGGGAAGGCTTTCACCATTGCACCATTAAGTACAATATTTGCTATAGGTTTGTCATAGATACCTTCTAATGGATTATGAAAATTCCCATCTATTTTTGAGATTTCTTTAATGATAATTTATTGTTGAATTTTAGCCAAAGCTGCATCTCCATCCATTCAGATGGAATGATTTTTCCTTATAATTTGTTATATTATAAATTATAGTATGAATCTGATATTAAAACATTCTCACCGACCTAGGATAATAGCAACTTGATTAGGTTTTTATATCTGCTAGACTTAGTTGGCTACTATTTTGTTGAGAATTTTTGCAACTATATTCATGAGGAAGACTGACAAGTGAGTTTCCTTTCTCATCTGGTCCTGTGTTATACTTGACTCGGCGAGAGAATGTTCCCCCATCTACACTCTGGAATAGGTTGTATAAGATCAGTAATTTTTGTTATTGAATGTCAGGTAAAATTTGAAGGCAGAACCATCTGGGCCTGGAGTTTTCTTTGAAACAAGATATCTAATAATTTTGCTTCTTTAATTGTTATAGGATTATTTGAACTTTCTAATTCTTGAATCAGTTTTAATATTTTTCTAGGCATTTATTCATTTTGTCTACATTTTCACATTTGTTGCCATATAAGTGTTCATACCCACCTCTTATCATCTTAATCTCTGCATATGTGATTTTCTTTTTCCATTCCTAATACTATTTGTGTCATCACTCTAGCTTTTCTTCATCAATCTTGCCTGACATTTGTCAGGTTTTATTACTCCTTTCAAAAACCAACTTTTAACGTTTTTGAGCCTCTGTATTGTATGCTCGCTTTCTGTTTCATTAAGGTCTGCCCATTTCCTTCCATTTACTTTCTTTGGGTTTATCCTACGGTTCTTCTCGAGAACTGGTAACATCAAACTCTTCTGGAAGTAGGCATAAAATCAGGAGCGCAATAAAAATAAAATTAACTGGTAGCAGATCATATTTCCCACCCTTCAGCAGAAGAGCATACCTTGAAAAGCCCCTTAAAGATCTGGTTTCAGCTACGCCTCATGCTGATTTTGGCCTCAGGATCCCTGCTCCCGGGGTTCCTCTGCCTGTAATGGCCATTCCCTACCCCTACTTCACCTGGATAACTCAGAATACAGTAAGTAACCAACAAATATTTGTTTATTTGAACATAAGAACTATAGGATTATGCTCCATCTCCATATTTTAAAAAGGACTGAATGAAGCAGTTTAGGAGCAGTTAGATCCTGAGATTTTTCACATTCTGCATAGTTTCAGCATGTTTCCCTCTCCGGCGAAAAGCTAGAAATATTTTTCTTCGCCAGGGAGGACACGAGGCCCAGATGAAGGCACGAGGGCCATACTTAAAGTAAAATTCGGTACTCTGGATACTGAGCTCTTCTAGCTCTCTTCTCTGTTCCCAGACTGTTATATCCAGAGATTGGAAGAATGTGTTCCAGGAAACTGGACCAGCCAGGAAAGAAGATTTAGATATCAACATCAAGACATCTCCAAAAGGATGGCCCAGCCAGATCATTCTACCATGAAGTTCACTGATGTCAAGTCCCATCTATTTATTCATATATCCCAATCAGCTTTTTAGTCCCCCTTCTTAAATATAAGCAGATGATGAAGTATTACCAGGTATCGCAGAAAATTTTCTAACCTAAGAGCAATAAAAATAGAAAAAAGTAATCTCAAAGAAACAGATTAGGTCTATACTAGGAGAAAACTTTAAGTGTATATTAATATTGTTGGAATGATCATTCAGTTTATTCCAGAACTATTTAAACATTTATTATATACCAGACACTGAGGTGCTGGGAAAATATCGGTGAAAAAAAGAAAAGGAAGAAAAGCTCCACCTTCTCAGTAGAAGCTTATATTCTACTGAGAACACAGATAATGGGATGAGTGTTAGGGATGAAATTTTTAATAGAGTCATCAGGGAAAGCCTCAATAAGACATAAATGTTATTTGCAAAGATGAAATAATGGAATGCTACTGAAAAAAGAACATTCAAAAAATTAAAAAGAGCACTTGGAAATTAAAGACATGATAGCAGAAAGGGAAAGCTTAATAGAATGGTTCAAAGATAATCTGAAGAAATCTTAAAGTAGGGTAATATCCAAACAAAAGTTCCACAAAGAGAAACAGAAAATAGCAAGAATAAATCTGTTAAGTAGTCCAAGAAAATTTCCCAGAAATGAAGGATATGAGTTTGTAAGAGTCCACTGAGTACCCAGGACAATGGGGGAAAAAATCCACGGCAAGGCACATCAACACAAAATTTTAAAATTCTAGAGTTAGAATATTCCCCAAGTTTCTAGCAGAGGGTGGGAGAGAAGGGCAAGCCACATACAAATGATCAGGAATCTAAATGGTTTCAGACTTCTTAACATACCATTGGAAAATAGAAATCATTGGAGCAATTCCATCAAAATTCTGAAAATTTATTTCCAACTGATGATTGTATTCCCAAACTAGCAGACTGCATGATGGTTTAGTTAAAGATATTTTTAGACATTCAGGGTCTCAAATTGAGCTCCATGTACCCTTTCCAAGAAAGTTACTCAAGGATGTTCTCTACAAAAACAGGAGAGTAAGCCAAAAAAGAGCAATACATGGATACAGGATAAAAGAGATCCAACATGGAAAAAAAAAAAGATGAAGGGAATCCTTAGATGACAGTGTAGAGAGATGCCATGATAAAAACTACGTAACGCATATAGAAAGACAATCACTTTAGATTTCTTCAAAAAGATGAAACTAATACCTGATGTGTAGAATTTTGTCAAAAGTTTACAAAATTGAGCAAGTCCATAGTTTATTAAGCAGTGAATACACTGAAAAGAAACAAAATGATTATTCACCCCAAGGCAACCAAAAATATGTACAAGTAAGAAAAGTAAATAATTTAGCATATGGCTTACATAGCCATAAGACTAATATAAACACTAAATATTAATCAACCAAAATTATAATATAACTATATTGGGAGGGTGAGGGGGAAGTTGCTAGGGAAGACAGTAGATGATGACTAAAATGGAAATGCCAACAAGAGGTT